CTGTAAGAAGGCCGAGGCGCCCGAATCCTCCAGAGCCGTCGGATCTCAGAGATTCTCGATCTATTCTCACCCGATGCTATCCTCGTCCTGGCTTCGTCTTGCTCGGTGAGCTCTTCTTCCGCAGCCGCGAACGCGGGGGCCTTCATGGGCCCGAGCGCCCTTGCGGGCAGCGCGCCGATAAACAGAGCGGCGGCGCCGCGCGGGCGCGGAGGGCCACGGGCCGCCGCGAACCCATCGCGGCGCCGCGGGCGCTGCTCGAGACAGCTGTCGCCTTCGGGCCCCTCTTGGCCCGCGGGGGGCCCTTGCGGACTCGAGGCGCACAGCTCCGCCCCCGGGGAAGGACAAGTGGCGCGGCCATGAACTTTCGGAGGTCCGCGCGGATTCCTTCTATCGGCGCTGGAGCCCTCCTGGCGGCGCCTCCGGCTACCCCGCAGGCGCGCTCCGCGCGCCAGGCATGGACTTCCAGCGCCGACCTAAGGAATCTGCACGCAGCTCCGAGAGCTCATGGCCCTGCCGTTCTTCTCGCTCTACTAGGCCGAGGCGCACAGCTCCACCCCCAGCAACATGGCCCAGGCCAGCTTTGGCGCCCATCTCGCGCCACACCTGCCGCGCGCCTGCGCAGCCTTGGCCACGCGCGCGAGGGCGTGCTTGCCCATGGCCAGCATGTCGACGGGCACGCCGCCTTCCTAGTTACCCAGGCCCCCGACGTCGTGCTGTTTCGTCGCAGCGTCGACCCCCAGTGGTATGGACCCCTTCCCCGAGACCGGCTTTTCGTCCCGAGTCGTTTTTTGACGGCCCCGGGGCCCGGGAAGGGCCCCGGATGCCGAAAGCAGGGACGATTTCCCGTCGCGATTTCTTCACAGCGCGAGGGGGTCTGGGTACCACCTTCTAGTGCGCCCGTTTCCTGCGCCTGAGGCCGCCTGCGCACTCCTCTTGGCGAATATTCTCTCTACACCTGAGGCCTCCTCCCGCGTGGCTCCTCCGCAGCTGCCCTCTTCCTCCCCTGGTCGCATCTGTGTGCCCTTCGTTACGGCGCGGACCGCCGGCTGTCCGAACGCGTTGGTGCCCGCCCACGCTCGGGGCGGCCACGAGCGGGGTGATGATCAGGGAGAAGGTCTCATGGCCGGGGCCATGGCGTCTTCTCCGATTGCGCGGCGCCGCTTCTTACTTCAACGCGTCCCCGGCCCCCCGCCCTGGGCCGCGCACGTGCCGCAGGCCATGACTTGCGCGCCCCCTTCTTGGCATAGGGCTGGGACTTCGAGAGCGCGAGGCGGACAGCACAAACGCTGGAGTGAAGGTTGACGCAGTGTTTTCACAGCCGGCGCAAGGCCAGAGGAGTAGAGGCGTTCTTGGCCCCTCGAATGCAGGATGATGATTAAGAAATTGCCATGGGTCGTGTTCGCGCGGCGGCGCTCAGGATGATAGGTAGAAAAACGGGCCTCCAGGAAACTAGTTATTAATCGTTCCCTCCCGACCTCCTCGGGCGCGCGCCTGACCGGCCGACGGGCCACACGGAACCGAAGCGAAGCGGAAACCGAATATTCGGAACTCGTGTTGTTAATCGTCCCCCACGCATTATGTTATCCTTCGCCATTTTGCATTATGCGCTGTCCTTCCTGGGCCACGATCGCTCGATCGTTCCATCTCACACCCTGGGCTGTCCCTCATCCCTAGCGCGATCATTTCATCGTTCCATCCACAGAAAAAGAGCTACCCGTCGTTCTCTTACATTCTGCCGTCCCTCTTACATGATTTGTCCTCTCTCTCGTTCTTCTCTCCTGGGCGCCCCCGCCCTCCTGGACGCCCCGTGGCCCGGTCGTCGGTCCATCTGTGCGGCGCGTTGGCGCCTCGGCCCAGCCGGTGGGCGGCCAGCAGCGCGGAGGCGGCGACGCCCGCGGCCTGCCGGGCCGCCGCGGCCGCCGTCGCCGCCGGCGCTGCACGGCGGCTCCGTCGGGGGGCTTCGAGCGGCCTGCGGCGCGTTGGCGCCCGGCCCCGCGGCGCGGCGGCCCGGGCACCGCGGGCGAGGCGGCGAGGCCGAGGGCGAGGGAAGCGCTGGCGCGGAGCCTCCGAGAGGGCGGCCCGCGGCTCGCGAGAGCCGCCGTGCGCCGCCGCCGTGGCGGGAGCCGGGGCGGCGGCGGCAGACTCCGAGGCGGCGGCTGGTCCGTAGCCTGACGTCGGGCCTGTCCATCTACTGGGGGAGCATTCACAAGCAGTCCAAAAATAGTCTGGGGACGATGCTTGGACTCTTTTTTTGAGCATTTTGGGGTATTTTTTTTGGCATGTTTTGTTTGACGCCCGAGATCCCCCTGTAGGGGGACAGGCCCGACTCAACCGTAGCCACCGCCTGGGGGTCGGTCTTCGCCTGGGGGGTCGGTCTTCGCGGGCCTCCCGGGCGGCGGGCACGGGGAGATTCGGGGGCCCGGGGGGCCAGAGTGGGGCACGGAGCCGCTGCCCGCTGGGGCGCCCGGGCGTCGGTTCCCTTGGCGGTGGGCGCGGCGGGGGCGTTGGTGGAGGAGCGTGCCCAGGAGTGGGCCCAGGGGCCAGAGTGGGCACGGGATCCGCTGCCCGCCGGAGCACCCGGACGTCGGTTCCCTTAGCGGTGGGCGCGGCGGGGGCGTTGGTGGAGGAGCGTGCCCAGGAGACTCCATAGGAGAACAAAAAGTGGCATAAGCATAAAATCTCGGAGGTCCGCGCGGATTTCTCGGATCGGCGCTGGGGCCCCCCGGCGGCGCCTCCGGCGGCGCCCCTGGCGCGCTCCGCGCGCCAGGGAGGGGGGTCCAGCGCCGATCCGACAAATCCGCGCGGACCTCCGAGTTGTTATGTTTATGCCACTTTTTGTTCCCCTACTTCAGGCCTTGCAGGGTCCCTTCTCTGGTGAGGGCGGCGGTGGCAGCAATGGCCGATCCACGCTGGGAGTTCCACCAGTTCACAGACCCGGGATTCCTCATCCCATGGCTCCTTACGAGCTCTCGAGTGTAGTATACGTACTTATTACGAACAGGTGAATCTGTCACGAAGTGGTCCTCTGTGCTGCCTAATAGAAAATAATTCCTTGTCCAGTGCCCTCGCCGTGTGCATCTGCCCCCGCCTCGCAGGGGCCGGCGCTCGCGGGCGGCCCGGCACAGCGGAGGGCCGCAGCTGTAGCTGTTGACGAAAAGGATTTTTGCCGGGAGGGAGCCTCGGAGGAGGAGGAGGAGGAGGAGAGCCCGCCGACAACGACACGGACACGTTGGTTGCGGTTGTGGTAGAGTTGGCCGCACTGTGGCGCCACGTCGACCGCGACCGGCACGAAGCCGGCTTCGGTGTACTGACGGCCTGCGGCATGCGCAGGACATCCCCCCGGGGTGTGCCCTCGATGTGGTCCGCCAGGGCGTGTCCTCGATCTGATTGTGGTCGCTTGCTGTCCTCGCCGCTTCGCCCACACCACCGGCGGCGTCGTGGCGCGCGCTCGAACCACGGGTCGTGGCACGGGTGGCGGCCTGTTATGATGACAACGACGACGGTGACGTCGACGACGGTGACGTTGATGGTGATGGTGATGATGACGATGGCGGTGGCGATCATGATTGTGATGTCCCTTGCGATGATGTTGTTGCTGCTGCTGATGGTGATGACGATGACGATGCCGATGACGATGACGATGAAGGTTACGATGGTGATGATGCTGATGATGATGATGATGATGATGATGGCGTGATGTTGATACTGTGAATGATGATGATGATGATGCTGATGATGGTGATGATGATGGTGGTGGTGGTAGTGGTAGTCTTGGAGGTGATGAGGATGAGTTTGATGATGGTGATGATGAGGGTGGTGGTGGTGTCGTTGGTTCTGATGACGACGATGACGATGATGCTGATGATGCTTATGATGCAGGTGCAGCTGCTGCTATTTATGACGACGATGATAATGATGATGCTGATGATGCTGATTAGTATAATGATGTTGATGCTGATGATCATGGTCATGATGCTGATGATGATGCTGATGATGGTGTGATGATGCTGATGCTGGTGATGATGCTGCTGATGATGATGATCATGATGATGATGATGATGATGATGATGATGATGATGATGATGATGATGATGATGATGATAATGATTATGATGACGAGGGTGATGGTGACGATGATGATGAGGATGAGGATGAGGATGATGATGCTGCTGATGCTGCTGATGATGACGAGGAGGAGGATCGGTGCGATGATGGTGAAGACTACGACGACGACGACGACGACGACTAGCAGGGGGAAGTGGGAAGGGGGAGGATCAGGATACGGTGGGAGAAAGCAGGATCAGCAGCAGGAGAATGAGCAGCAGACGCAGAGTAGGATAATAGTCGAATGGGCGGGAAGAGAAGGAAGACGAGGAGGAGGATCATGAGGAGGAACCGCAGCAGCAGCACCACCAGGGAGGGGAGAGGAGGGGGACCAGAGATAGGGAGAGGGAGAGGGAGAAGGAGGGTTGGGAGGAGTAGGAGCAGCAGCATGAAGAGGAGGGGGGTGAAGGGGGTGAGCTCAATGCAGTGGCAGGATTATGTTTGCATTTGGCTTAGGTCACTAAGTCAGCAGAAGGGGAGGCGGATGTGCTACGCAGTGCAGTCCAGTCCTGGCGGTACTCTCTGAGCACTACCTAGCTGATTGCGTTGGTCTGCGGGCTCTCCTGGGCCGTGGTCGGCAGCGCGACGAAGGAGAGGCGCCAGGGGCTGGTCTTTTAAGCTTGCAGGGGGTCTTCTCGGAAGCCCTCCCGTCCGTCACGAGGCCCTCGCAGGCGCACGCGGGCCCACGCAGGACGCCCGCTGCATTCGTAGAAGGGCACAGGGGATATCCGCAGAGCCTCGCTGTCCTCCAGGCTTCGCTATGGATCGTTCATCATCGTTGGCCGCCGCCCAGAGGAACAACAAGGACAGCATACATAAATCGTAGGAGAACCCCCGGAGCAACAAGAACAGCACAACACAACGAGAAAAACAAACACATATCTTAGAAGGCCGCCCCGCCTTCCCTCTCCGGGCCGCCCGCGTTCCTCCTACCGCGCGGCGCCCTGGCCGTTCTGCATCACCCTCTCACCGCTGCTTTCGCGCGCTCGCTGGATGCCGCCCCGAGGGTCCGCTCTCCGCAGGCGTGGCCACGTGCTTGCCTTTTTCTTTCCCGGCAGACTGTACTGTCGGAAGGCGCCATACAGAGCGCGCCTCTGCCTTGCTTCCCTTTTTCTCCTGCCTCAGCGCCCGCAGCGAGGCCCGAACGCCTCGGTCAGCTGTGTTGGGCCGCCGATCGGCGGGCGGGGTAGCCAGAATCGCAGGGGTGGTGCTGGCCTCCTCCCCTTCAGTGGCCGCTCTGCCTCCCCGATGCCCCCCTCCCTACTTCATGCCCCTCTACATCCCTCCCTCTTCTTCCCCCTCGCCCGCTCCATTCCTTCTCGTCTTCCTCCTTCTCCCTCCTTGTCCATCCTGCCCCGTCTTCTTCTGATCATTATTATGATTATGATGAATTGTCTTATTACGGTCATTATTAGTATTTCTTGTCTTATTCGTCTGATTTTTATTCGTATTAGTAGTGCAAGCTCCTTCCCATCCTCCTTCCGATGGCCCGTTCTCCCTACCGTCCTCCACCCTCTTTCCACCTCCTTTCTTCCTCCTCCTTGTCCTTCTCTCCCCTGCTCTCCTCCTCCTCCTCCTCCTCCTCCTCCTCCTCCTCCTCCTCCTCCTCCTCCTCACGGTCTATCCCATCCTGGGCGTAGTCCAATAAAAAAATGGGCTGAAGTACCTTGGCTTCTGGCTAGGGCAGCCTTGGAGGACGGAGGAACCTTTTGGCAGCGGGTGTCTTGCCACGTACGGGGCAAGATCTGCAGCCGGATCATCTCGACAGTCCGTTTGCTTCACACCCGCAAGGAGCCCTGTGGCAAGTTGACAGGAAATTCGCGGGAAGGACCTGGGCGCTACGTCGGGACCAGCCTCAGCACAATTGCAGTTCTACTCGTCGCAGATGGCAAGCATCATCGCATACGTCGGCCAGCCCGTTCCGCTCACCAAGCAGACGCTGCAAGCTGAGGCGGCATCTTGGCGCAGGTGTGCACCTTCCAGGCGAAGCAGTGGTGCCAACTAGTGGACTGAGGTGGCAAGTGGACTGATGTGGCTCAAGAGTTTGAGCATCCCTGCCGGTGGCAGTCGATCCGATGGCGCGTGCAAGGCCTTCATCACACAGCTAGAGCAGCCGCCGGCCCTGGAGGCGGGACCTCCCCCACGGCCCGTCCTGTGGGGAGGGGAAGAAGGGCAGGGAATCTACTGATTCACGACGTTTCTTTTCCTTGTGGTTCATTTTCCTTGGGACTGGCGACGACGACGACGACGACGAGGGCAAAGCCTCTCGCACACGCCGAATGGTGGGCGGATTTGGGCCGGTCTTCGCGATGCTGTTAGTTGATGGCTGGATTGCGTGCTGCCCCCAATGGCGGGTCTAGGCTGGCCCTCCCAGCCCAGCACCAGCGGAGCCTCCCCAGTGGGAGAGTCCCAGACCCCAGACATCGTGATTCTTTCACAGCGTCGGCCCCAGAGGCCTGGACCCCTTGCCCAAGACCGGTTCTTCATCCCGAGTCGTTCTTTGACGGCCCCGAGGCCTGGTGGGGGGCCCCCGAGGGCCGAACACATAGACCCGAAGGCCGAAACTATAGAAACACCTCCCGCCGCGATTTCTATGTTTAAACTGCTGGGGCCCCGTCTGCGCGGAGCACCTGCGGGCGGCAGCGCTCGCCAGCCCCGTGCGGGCGCGGGCACCTCCTGCCGCTGCGCGGCGCGCGGCCTGCGCCGCACGGAGGCCTGCCCCCCGCGAAGGGGCGGCAGGCTGCGAGTCGTGCCGCCCAGGCGGTCTTCTGTGAAGGGGCCCCAGGACACACACAAACAAAAATGCACACAAGTAAAAAGATGCCCCACGTTTTTCCCCGTATTTTCTGGGTTCCTGTCTTCCCCCACACTCTTCCCATATTTTCCCATATGTTCGGAGGGATCGACAATGAATCATGTCTGTGTGTTGTTTCCCCCTCCCGATGCTGTGCCGACCCAGCGATCCGACGCTCCAGACAACTGGGAGCGGGCAGGTCGGCCTCTGGGAGCCCTCGCGGGGCCTCGGGGCCGTCCACAGGACGGTTCTGGACGACTGGCCGGCCCCTGGGGGCAGGAGGGCCAGACCTCGGTCGGGCAGCGGAATCTATACATATCCGCTGCTCCCTGGCCAGGCCCATCCTGAACCCAGGAGCTGTGTACACGCCCTCCTGGCCAAGCCAGGAGGTCGTGGCGTATACACCGCTGCTGGGTTCAGGATGGGCCTGGCCAGGGAGCAGTGGATATGTATAGATTTCGTCGCCCTACTCGGGGGCCCACGCATCGGAAACAGTGAGCAGCCGGATGCCTGGGGACAATGACGTGGAGATGATTTTTCCAGAGTCGGGTCTTGGAGTGGCTCCCAGATGCGCAAGCAGAGTCGGGGGCTGTGGACCCGGAGTGCTTCGTAGCGCACCCATTCGCCGTGTCCTCACTCTTGAGGATGGTTTTGTCTTCGGGCATGGGCCTCGGCGTGAACGACCAGGTGGGGGATCTTGCCCGAAGGAGGTCCGAGGTGGACCTCTGCTTTTGGCTGCGAGCCGATCCGCTGCGAGCCCAGCTTCGAGCAGCACGTTTTCCCAGATGCTGGTCCCGAGCTGCCGCAAGGCTCCCTGACATCCAATATTTTCATTGGCGCACTTCGAGGATGCGTTCGTCCACCTTTGTGGCTGCAGTGGGGATTGAGCGTTTCTCAACGCCGCGTGCTGCTTGCCGATGCTCTGGCGCGCTTGGGGGTGACAGGCCTTTCTCGCGAGCGAAGAGCAGAGCTAGCTTCTATCTGGCAGATTTACCACGAAGCCCGTAATGATGGATTTCCCATTTCCTCTTTCGAGCCTCCTCTCCCTCGCGACAGCAACGATTCGAGACGCTGTTTTAGCGCCCCCGCCGAAGGCCTGCATGGTTTACCAGATTCAGCGCCGAATGCAGCAGCTGTCAGTAGCGAAGAAGCAGGGTACTGCTGGCCCCGAGGTGGGCTGGCAGGGTGCAGGGTGCCGCCGATTTAAGTGTGTCTGTTTGGAAGCTCACTGGAACATGCAGAATGCACTTCTCTGCACTTTCGTAGAGGCCCCAGGAGGCCACTGAAGGCTGCGAAAGGCCGCTAAACGTCACAAAATGTTGCTAAAAGGCGACTGAAGGCCACTAAAGGTCGATGATATTAGACGCAAGGCAGCTAAAGGCTACTAGAAGCCTCTGAATCGAAACGGTTTATGTTTGAATGAGTTTCCAACAAGACTCATCTAACGCTGGCCCCGAGGTGAGATGGCGGGTTGGGTAGGAACAATACCTGAGATTTTCGGCTGCTCTTTCTGATCATGCTCCTCCTACTCAATCACCTCCTCCTCCTCCTCCTCCTCCTCCTCCTCCTCCTCATGCTCATGCTCATCCCCCTCCTCATCAGCATACTCTTTCTCCTCCTCCCTCTTTCTCCTTCAGTTTCTTTGTTTGTCTTCGACGTCGTCCTCCTCCCCCTCCTTCTCCCGCGTTGCTGCCTCCCCTCCGTTTCTCCCTTCCTCCTCCCTTTGTATCGTCAGATATTGTTCGTGCGTTCGCCTGTCCTTCGAGTGGCAATCCTTAGTCAACCCTGTCGCGTTAACACCTCGATGCTGGCTAGATTGCGCATCGCAATCCGAAGTTCGATCCACAGTTCAAGAGGGACTCCGTGCCGCCCGGAAGTTGGTTCGGAGGTGTCTTCGGGAGCAGGCATCCTCTCTTCAGTGCTCTTGACGTCGGTGCTCGGCCCTGCGGCTGACAAGCTTGCCTAGGTGACGTGCACACCGCCTCATGCTCCTCATCCCTGTTTGCTGTGCGACGTCTTCACGCATGCCTCCTCCGCCTTGTTCCCCCTCCTCCTTCCTCTCCCTTCTCCCCCACTCCATCTCTCCCATTGGCTCCCTCGATCCCCGTCGTCCTCCCTCCCTTCCCCTCTCACCCTCTCCCCTCCTCCCTCCTTCCCCCATCAGCCTCAGCCTAAATGTCCCTCACCCTCCCATTTGCATCCCGTTTCCACCCTCCTCATCCCCCGCATGCTCCTTCGCATGCTCCTTCTGACCCTTCTCCTTCTCGCCAGTGCGTCCAATCGCCTTGTCCAATCTCCCTCCTACGCGTCCGTTCCCCATAAGTGCGCATCGCTCCTCCCTCGTGATCAGTTTCCTCCTTTTCCCCTCCTCATCCCCCATGCCTGGCGCCTTCTCTTTCTCGTCCTTGCCACCATCGTTCCCCTCATATTCCTCCACTTCACCTCTCCTCACTGCTGCCCCCCATCCCCCCTTTCTCCCTTCCACCCCCCCCCCCTTCTCCGCCTCATTCCGCATCCCTCCTCCCCTCCCCCTCCCTCGCTGTCGCCCCCCTCTCCCTCCCCCCACCTGCCTGTTTCTATCCCTCCTCCTCCTCCTCCTCCTCCTCTCCTCCTCCTCCTCCTCCTCCTCCTCCTCCTCCTCCTCCTCCTCCTCCTCCTCCTCCTCCTCCTCCTCCTCCTCCCCCCTCGGCCCCCGCCCCACCCCTCTCGCCCCCTCGCACTGGGCCGCGAGCCTCACTGCCCCGGCGGCTCCCGCTGCCCCATGCCTTTCTCGGGCGCCCTGACGCCGCTCCAGCGGGGCCGGACTCTGCAAATGGCCTCCGGCCCCCGCCCGCCTGGATCCGCCTGGGAGGCCCCCCCTGACAGAGGAGCCGCCCGCGTCCCGGCGATGGAGGATGTGGTGAGGAGCCCAGACCTCGGGCGTCTCGAAAAAATCGAGACAAGGGTTTTTCGTCGTTTTCGGCCTCTGGAGGCCCTCGCCGGGCCTCGGGACCGTCAAACAACGACTCGGGATGAAAAACCGGTCCCGGGGAAGTGGTCGGGAGGTTGGGGGCCCGTGTCTCGAAAAAATCGAGACGTCGGATGTCTGGGGAGAGGGTCGGGGGCGGCAAAGAGGGGGGTGATGACGGGGGGCAAAGAGGGGGGTGATAAGGGGGGGGTGGATATCGTGGCGGGGGCCACGATGTTTCCCCAGATTTCAGGGCGCCTCTTCGTATTTCATTGCGTCCCTGGCCGCCCCCCCCCCCCCCCAAGGGCCGCGCACATGTCGCCGGCCATGATTTGCGCCCCCCCCCCCCCCCTCTCTTGGACACCCCCCTCTTGGCCGCTCCCGAGAGGGATCGCCGTGAGGGCAGCCCGGACAGGATCGCGTCGCAATTGGAATTCGGGACAGCAGGTCTTTCGCCATCTTCGGCCCCTGAGGGGCCCTCGCCTGGCCCCGGGGCCCGTCAGAGAACGGCTCGGGAGGAAAAACCGGTCCTGGGGAGTGGGTCGATACTTCTGGGGGCTCCGTACCGAGAAACCACGACATCGGGTCTCTGGGGAAGGTTCCCGAGGGAAGCGGGAAGACGGAGGAGATGGAGGAGGAGGAGGAGGAGGAGGAGGAGGAGGAGGAGGAGGGGAGGCTGAAACCGATGATGATGATGATGATGATGATGATGATGATGATGATGATGATGATGATGATGATGATGATGATGATGATGATGATCATCATGATCATGATGAGGAGGAGGAGGAGGAGGAGCAGGGGGGGAGGAGGAGGAGGAGGCAGAGGAGGAGGAGGAGGAGACCATGATAATGATGATGATGATGATGATGATGATGATGATGATGATGATGATGATGATGATGATGATGATGATGATGATCATGATGATGATGATGATGATGATGATTGATGCGGATGATGCTGATAATGACAAAGAGGACGAGGATGATGGTGATGGTGATTGTGGTGGTGATGGTAATCATGATGCTGATAATGCTGATGCGGATGATGCTGATGCTGATTGTGATGGTCATGGTGACCGTGATGATGACGAGGATGCTGATGATGAGCATGATAAAGATTATGATGATGATGATGATGATGGAGATGAATATGAAGGTGATGATGATGGTGATGATGATGATGATGATCGCGATGATGATGCTGATTATGATGCTGATTCTGATGCTGGTGATGCTGCGTTGTGATGGTGATGATGATGCTGATTGTGGTGATGCAGATGGTTCTGATGGTGATGCTGATTATGATGGTGATTGTGATGGTAATGGTGATGGTGATCATAATAATGATGATGCTGATGATGCTGATTGTGATGGTGATGCTGCTGATGATGACGACGACCATGATGATGATGATGATGATGATGATGATGATGATGATGATGATGATTTCGATGCTGATGTTTTTACGTTTCGATAGGGATGTTGGTTCTGATTGTGATGGTGATGATGATGATAATGCTTATTCACTGATGCGAATGGTGATGATGATGATCATGATGATAATGATGATGATCATGATGATGATGCTGATGATGATGGTAATGGTGATGGAGGTGGTGATCATGATGATGTTGCGGATCATGATGGTGCTGATGCTGTCTGTGATGGTGATGGTGTTGATAATGATGATGCTGATTGTGATGCTGGTGATGATGCGTTTTGATAATGATGATGTTCTTGATGCTGATGCTGACTGTGCTGGTGTGGTGATGATGATGATGGTTGTGGTGGTGATGATGGTAATGGTGTTGTTCATGTTGTTGTTATTGATGGTGAGTGTGGTGCTGATGATGGTGACGATAATGCTTATGTTAAGGATGTTGATGATGAAAGTGGTTATGATGGTCTTGAGGATTCTGAGTATGATGCTGCTGATGGAGACGATGAACATTAACATTTTGATGCCGATGCTGATGATGTTCCTGTTGATGGTGATGATGGTGATGATGATGGTCATAATGATGATGATGATGATGATGATGATGATGATGATGATGATGATGATGATGATGATGATGATGATGATGATGATGATGGTTGGTGATGATGCTCACGATGATGATAATGATGATGATGCTGATGCTGATTCTGGTGACGATGGTGATGATGATGGTGATGATGTTGATGACGATGGTGATGGTGATGGTGATCATGATGAGGATGTTGATTATGATGACGATGATGGTAACGATGATGATGCTTATGTTGATGATGATGTTGTTGGTTTTGATGCGTTTTGATGGTGGTGATGATGATGCCTGTGATGATGTGGCTGCTTCTGAGGATGATGATTACGATGGTGATGTTGATCATGGTGTTCATGATGATTGTGATCATGCTGTTGAAGACGATGATGATGGTGATGATGGTGATTGTGGTGGCTCTGATGAATACTATGATGATAACGGCGAGGATGAGTATGATGATGATGCTGGTGATGATGGTGGTGGTGGTGATGATGATGGTGGTGAGGGTGAGGTTGAGGGTGATGGTGATGGTGATGGTGATGGAGATTGTGATGATGATCGTAATGATGATGATGATGATGATGATGATGATGATGATGATGATGATGATGATGTTGATGATGATGATGATGATGATGATGATGATGATGATGACGATGACGATGAGGAGGAGGAGGAGGAGGAGGAGGATGAGGATTTTCCCGAGGGTAGAGCAGGGATCGGGGCAGACGGCTGCGGATGGAGGCGATGGTATCGGGGAGGTAAGGTGGGAGATTAGCTGGGGCTGGAACGATGAGGGTGTAGACTGCGCCCCCGGGGCCTGGCGGACCTTGCAAACATTTTCCAATACAAGAGCCTCGCCGCGGCCCCGGCGCTTGGTGCCGACGCCTGCCGTGGGGCGCGCGCATCGGCTACTCCTCCTCGTCCGCGTCCTCCTGCATTCCTTTTCCTTGTAAATGGCACGGAAGAAAAAACCTCAATCATAATCTTTTTAGGGTTATAGGACTGTGGGGCTCTAGGGCTCCTCCTCTTCCTCCTCCTCCTCCTCCTCCTCCTCCTCCTCCTCCCCCTCCCCCTCCTCCTCCTCCATCCTTCCCCTCCTCGCGCACAGTTCCCAGTTTCTCTTCCCTCTTCATCTTCCTCCTCGTCCTTCGCCTCTTCCCTTCCCTGTCTGCCTTTTCCCCTCCGCTTCCTCTTCTTCCCCTCTTCCTCCGTCCTTCCCCCTTCTCCCCCCTCCCGCTACTACCCCCCGATTCGTCTCTCCGCGCTCCTTCCGCGCACATCCTTCCTCCTACCTCCTCCGTCCTCCGCGCCCTCCATTCTTCCGCCCTCCCTCCCAGGTTGCTGGCCGCTGCTGCCCCCATCCCCCCAAAACGACACGGGCATGGGAAAACCGATCCCATCCCTCCCCCGTCCTTCGGCATCTCTGCCCATGGCCCCTGCTTCCCCCCAGACCTGTGCGACGCCCTGTTCTTTCCATTACGGCCCGACTGAGGCATCTGAAGGTCGAGGTCGGCTCGGGGAGGGTACCTTGCTGACGCTCTTCGTGCTTGCTGGAGAACTGTCCCTGTGCATCCTGGGGGAGAGCACGCCCCCGAACGCTCCTCGCTTTGGCTGGCGGAGGGCCGCATGCTCTCGAGGGACGCTCCTCTGCCCAGCCGCACGGCGGCCCCGCACGTCCCGCCCCTCTCCCCCGGGACCGGGCCTCTCACCCCGCGCCGTTCTCGGACGGCCCCCCATGGGGAGGTCCGGCGAGGCCCCCCCCGGGGGGCCACCTCCTCCTCCTCCTCCTCCACCTCCTCCTCCTCCTCCTCCTCCTCCTCCTCCTCCTCCTCCTCCTCCTCCAGCGCACAGCCAGACACACTGCCCGTCACGGCGCGCGCCTCTCGGGGCGCACGGCCTCCGCAAGTGTCCCTTGGCCTCTCCCCGGGGGCGGGGCCTCTCGCCCCTCGCGCCGCGGCGGCGAGGGCCCCCCGGGGGAGGTCCGGCGAGGGCCCCCCCCCCTGCGGGGGCGGGCAGAAGCGGCGAAAGAGAAGCCTCCCGCCCTGTTTCCTCCTCGTCCTCGTCCTCCTCGTCCTCGTCCCCAGACCTCGGGCGTCTCGAAAAAATCGAGACAACAGTTTTTCATCGTTTTCGGCCTCTGGAGGCCCTCGCCGGGCCTCGGGACCGTCAAAAAACGACTCGGGATGAAAAACCGGTCCCGGGGAAGTGGTCGGGAGGTTGGGGGCCCGTGTCTCGAAAAAATCGAGACGTCGGATGTCTGGGTCCTTTCCCGATTACCCGAGCCCGGGGCTACTGCAAGTTTTTGCCCTCTTCATTGCACTGCTGTCGGCTTGCGTCCGGGAGGATCGCCCTCTAGAGGGGCAGCGGATTTCAAGAGTGGCGGAGCGATCGACTCGAACCTTCAAGCGATTTCGTTGCGGGGGGGGGAAAAAAAACCTCCCGTCCTGTTTCTTGGTGGTTGTCTGCGACGCGAGCACGTCTGGGCCTGGTGCCTCCCGGCCCCGCCCCTTCTCGCCTCGAGGGCCAAAGAATTCCCAGCCCAGATCCCGCAGTGAAGACGTGGCCTCACTCAGGTCCCCGCCTTGGCATTCGGATGATTGATCTGGGTGGCTTGTTCTGATATGTCAGCAGAAAAACAGCTCCCTGTCCCTAATGTGTTTGGCTCTCCTAGCTTCGGTCCCCTCCCAGAGGGTTAGGGGTCCTTCTGCTGCTAATCGTTATCCTCTTCTCCTCCCTCTTGTCGCTCGCCGCCCCCGCTGCCCCCGACGCTCCTCCCCGCCTCCGTGCATGCTCGGCGGCGCGAGCCGATGTGTGCGCTCGCGCGCGCCGCCTCGCGCCAATGTGCCAATGTGCCAATGTGCATGTTAGGCCGTGAATACAAGGGCTCCCTCGAGGGCGCGAAGTTATTCGCGCTTCGCGCTTCGCGGTCCTCGTTCCTTCTCCCCCTCCTCCTCGTCCTCCTATTCTCCCTTTGGGAGGGCGGCGCGAGAGCGCGAAGTTATTCGCGCTTCGCGCAGCGCGAAGCGCGAAGTTGGGAGCCCTAGTGAATACCGGGGGGATGGAAAGGGGGAGATAGGCATAGGGGGGATGCATCGATCCCCAATCGCCCACTGATCGCCGACAGGGGCCCGATCGCCCCACCCCGTCCAGGAACTTGGGAATTCGCTAACGGTGGCCTATCGCCGATCTATCGGCGATGTATCGCAGATTCATACATGCCAGTCCCCCCCTATCTTTCCCCCCAGAACAAGAGCCCAGAGATCCGACGCTCCAAAAAACTGGAGCGGGCGGTCTTTGGCTGTTTTCGGCCTCTGGAGGCCCTCGCCGGGCCGCGGGACCGGCCCCAAATCGAGTCAGGACGAACAGCCGGCCCTGGGGAAGTGGTCCAGACCTCCGGGGCCCACGCATCAAAAAAGCTGGAGCAGCTGGATGTCTGGGGAGGGTGAATACGAGCCACTCTATCTCAGAGTAGACCAGCCAGCAAATTCCTCAGCACTGTTTCTGGGGTGGAGGCGCTCGCTCGGAGAGCCAGCGCCGACGTAGATAGCAGGAGCCCATTCGCAGCAAGCTCTCGTCAGAGTCTTGCAAAGACACAGCCTGAGTCCCAGACCCCCGACGTCGTGATTTTCTCACAACGTCCACCCCCAGATGCCTGGACCCCTTCCCCTGGACCAGGTTTTCATGCGGAATCGTTTTTGGACGCTCCCGGGGCCCGGCAAGGGCCGCCGAACGTAGCGAAAAAGCTTCCGCCGTGATGTGTTCACAACGCAGCAGCACCTGGCCGCTTCAGAGCGGCCACGTGCTGCCGCGGGCCAATCTTGCCCCGTCCTTCTTTGGAATGCCCACGCAGGAGGATCATTCCGTTTTCGAGTGTGCTCGTGGAGAGCACAAGGTGCGGGGCAGCTCGTGCCGATGAGCCTGGTGTTCTCCCCGAGCCCCAGTGGGCCCAGGCGGGGCTGCCCACAGTGCGGGCGCAGTCAGTTCAGGCTGCTACTGTTGGCGGCGGTGGTGGCGGCGCTCCTCGCGGGCCTCGTGGTGCATGGGCAAAGGGACCCCGGGAGGTCAAGGACGTACAGTCGGGGCGCTGAAGAAGGAACCCTTTTCGTTTGGGGATGGGCTCAGTGTTCCTTAGTTGTTTTGCAGTGTGTATGAGAGCGCCTTCGGTTTTCGACGGGAAATCGAAGTTTAACATGTGCAGAAACGGGGCCTCCTTCCTTATTTAGGGTTCATTAGGTCAACGCCCCGACTGTAGTTGCAAAACAATGGCATCTTCCGAGAAGCGCCCGCTGGACCAGCGCAAACAGATCGTTCATGGCAAGAGCCATTCCTCTTCAGCAGCCGAAGCTCAGAATCAGCCAGGAGGCAGTGAAGGGGGACCCAAACCTGAGGATGAGGATGTTGAGGCTAAGAGGCTTCGAGGGCGTGCCCAACAGGAGGAGGAGGACCTACCCCCGAACCTCCTCGGCACTTTCTCCTTTTGATTGCGATCCTCTTCCCCATTCTTGCCCATCCTCATCTGCAGCCCTTCTTGTCGTTCTCCTTCCCCCTGTCCTCCTTCACATCACTTGGCTGCGAGTGACTGATCCTGCTGCCGGTCCGCTGCATCGCCCTGTCGCACCCTGATGGTGGCATACACCCGGGCCGCTGCAGTCCGTGGGGGAGCGCTGCGGCGTGGAGAAACAGAGCGGCCTCGTTCTCGTCCTCACCGCCATATCTTCTCTCCGTCCTCCTCCTCCTCCTCCTCCTCCTCCTCCTCCTCCTCCTCCTCATCATCATCATCATCATCATCATCATCATCATCATCATCATCATCATCATCATCATCATCATCATCATCATCATCATCATCCGTCTCCTCCTCCTCTTCCTCATCCTCCTCCTCAAGCTCGGCAATACTCTGATGTGTGGTGAGTTGGCTCAGAACATCAACCACAATCTGAAGGTTTCCAGCCTTTCCCTCCTCTGCCTCGGCTCTCTCCCGACGAGCTGCGAGCTTGCAGTCGCAAGTGCTCGGCTCGCACGGCTACGTCGGTCGGCGACTTCCATATGCGCCGCTTCGCGTCTTTATCAGATGCCTCGCTCGACCTGCTGTCCACGATCTACATTGCGATGGAGTCTAGCAGCCTGATTCCAGTGCAAGCACGTGTCACGGTCATCGGTCTCTTTTCTCCCATCTATCGACTACTGGGCAAGGGGAGGAGGAGCTACGCGACAAGCTGGGAGGATTCGAACAGACGATCCTACTTTGCAGCAGGGAAGGTCTCCTCTTCCTCTGACGTGGCGTGGTGCCAGTCCGTGCGGGGGAGGTCGCCGTGCAAGAGGGTAAGGGTTCTGCCATGTTGCTCTGGGACTTGTTCAAGTGTTTCGAGGTGATCAGCCTCGACCTCCTCCTGCACCGCTGCGCCGAGCACGGTTTCAACGCGACGATTGCTCACCTGGCCGTCGCTATGTACAGGAATGCACGGTTCATTACGATTGGCCAAATAGTCAAGGGACCGCACATTGTTCTCAAGGGTATAGTTCCCTACCTAGGCTCTGCCTAGAAGGGTCCTTTCCCTCTGTGCGTAAAGAGCCGGGCAGTGCTACCCGCCCCGGGCGGTTCCCCCAGTATCCGCCCCGCGGTTCCCCCAGTCCCCTGGGAGCTTTAGCTTTAGCTTTAGCTTTAGCTTTAGCTCAGCTTTAGCTTAGTTTTAGCTTAGCTTTAGCTTAGAGTTAGCTTAGCTTTAGCTTAGATTTAGCTTAGCTTCAGCTTAGCTTTTGCTTAGCTTCAGCTTAGATTTAGCTTAGCTTTAGCTTAGCATCAGCTTAGATTTAGCTTAGCTGTAGCTTATCATTAGTTTAGCTGTACCTCAGCTTTACTTTAGTTTTAGCTTAGCGTTAGCTTAGCTTTAGCTTAGCTTTAGCTTAGCTTTAGCTTAGCTTTAGCTTAAATTTAGCTTAGCGTTAGCTTAGCTTTCGCTTAGCTTTAGCTTAGCTTGAGCTTATACTTATTTTAGCTTTATCTTAGCATTAGCTTAGCTTTAGCTTAGCTTTACTGATACTACTACTGCCGCTTTCCTAGGGGCTCCATCTCCTAGGTAGGGTCGCATTGGGATAATTGTTGATTGCCCGTTCGCGACGTTGGATTTTCATCATCGGTCCGCTCGACTCGGCTATCATCTCGGAAGCGGTTTCGCCCGATGTGCACATCGACGATTACGGACTCTCGACTATTGGCACCTCTTCTGAAGTTGTTCACGATTTGTCGGCAGCGACATCGTCCTGCAACACGCGATCTTACATCACATTGGCGGCAGTATTTTACACGAGAAGGCCACAAGTTGCAGCTGCTCTCCGCAAGACGCTGAGAGTTTCAGTTGGCAAGCGCGTTGTTTCTTCTGCAGCCAACCTTGGGATTGACCACACCTCTGGACGGCCCAGGCGGGCTCCTCGGCGTTCCAAGGTTCACAAAGTTCGGATGCTCACGCTTAAGACTAAGACCTGACGGCTGCAAAAGATACGACAGGTTCTCGGTAGGCACTCCAGGAAGCAGTTCATCACCGCCCCCCTACCAGGCTACTACTATTGTTGTGAAGTGCATGGTGTTTCTGATAACGAGTGGGGTTTTGCTCGGCGTGCTTACGGTCGCTGTACCAGGCCCAGAGCTGGATCCCACTCGCTCACCTCGACGCTGGTGCTCGACAGGACCCCACGTACTATGGGCCATAGCCCCCATCCTCAGGGCCTCAGACGGCGCTGCGGCTCTAAACGTTCCCTCCTGCCGAGTTGATTCGATCCCCTTCCCCTTTTGACGTTGGCCAAACACTAGCTCGAAGCTGCTACGTCCCCCAGCTCAATGTTTCACAGGAGCAGGCGCAACACAGTTCCCGAGGGGACGAGGGCAAGAGGGAAGCAGCGCGAGCTGCGGCAGCAGTGCCGACAAAGAACGGGGGGACAGGCGAGAGAAGCCGGATGGAGCGGAGCAGCGATCCAGAGCAAGCGCAGCGTCAAGGACCTGACCCGCCCCCGCCGCAGCAGAGCCGCCATCCACCACGATCCCTCCTTGCCCTCCCCCCCGCTCTCTTCGCTCCGGGAGCGCCGCGGCCCGCGGCGGCGGGGCCGACGTGGAGAAAGACGTCGAGAGATCTTCAGGAAGGTCTGGAGCAAGCCGGGGACGCTCCAGGGCGAGTCGAGGGACAGCAGAAGTCGTCGCGCTCTTAACATGCCGACGTCGACCACGTGGCTGGACGCGCGCGTGGGCGGATGCAGGTGTCGCACGGGCAACAAAAAAAACCTTCGGGCTGGGGCCACGCGTCGACCACCTGGCCCCATCCCCCGGGAGCGCCGGCGGCCAGAACTCCGAGACGGATCCGGCCGCGATGCCGAGGAGGCCCAGGAACGCCGGGGGCGTCCACGAGGGGGAGCTGAGGAGTAGGGCCCGGCCCATATCGTGATATCTCCCCCCGGACTTGATGGCCCCCCCCTTCTTGGGCGCCCCCGAGAAGAGGCAGAAGCACGTCCCCCCCACACGCACACACACACACACACACACACACGAGCAAGAGCTCTCGAGCCTTGGGCCCTCCAGTCTGGGGGCCTCCTCCTGCCATCTTGGCCTCATCCCGACGTGCCTCCCTCGCCCCTGCCCGTCGTCCTTTTCAGTCCCCTCCTCCGTTTCCCTCAGGGAGAGGGAAGGGGAGGGAGGGAGGAGGAGGAGGACCAGTGGAAACCCAAGACTCCTCTACGATGTTGTTTTAAAGCCTCCCTCCAAGCTCCCTCTTCATAGGCCCCTGCAAAGGTTCAGTTCCACTGGGGGAACTGCCTCGTTGAGGGAGAACCGTTTGAAGACCCTGAAGCGCGCCAAATCACCATTCCCGTGGCTCCAACGCCACGTATCAACAGACTGTTGCGTCTTGACGATCCTGAACCGTGCCAGAACACCACTCCTGGGACTTCAACACCGCGAATCAACGTAACTGTTGCGCCCTCACAATCCTGAGTCTTTTCAAAACACCATGTCTAGCACGTTGACCCTGGGAATCCGTGAAAGGCTTGCATTTTGTGCAACGAATGTGCGTGGCGCTGAGGCGAGAGCCACATTCTCAAAACGACCCGCTCTAAATCCGTGAAGTTCTTGTAAATGGTTAAAACGAATGCGCGCGGCGCTAATGCGAGACCCACATTTCGAACACCACCCGCCTTCAAACCGTGAAGCTCAAACGAATGCGCGCGGCGCTAAGGCGAGAGCCGCATTTTGAAAACCTCCCGTTCTCAATCCGTGAAGTTCTTGCAAGTCTTTGCAGACGAGTGTGCGCGGCGCTGAGGCCAGAGCCACATGTTTAAAACCACCCGCCCCCCGTCTGAGAAGCTGCAGCCAGCTTCGAATCCTGAGGGTCATACATGGTGAGGAAGTCTCCGGCGAAACGTCCGGCCCGCCCTTTGGACTGGCCTCGGGGTGCGATAGGGAGAAGTTTGTTGGTATAAGGAAAGGGTTGGAGGAGGAGGAGGAGGAGGAGGAGGAATACTAATAATGATAATAGAAATAATAATAATAATAATAATAATAATAATAATAATAATACGAATAATAATAATAATGTTAATAATGTTAATAATAATAAAAATAATAATAATAATAATAATAATAAGAAGAAGAAGAAGAAGAATAATAATAAGAAGAAGAAGAATAATAATAAGAAGAAGAAGAAAACGGAAGAGGAGAAGGAGGAGGAGGAGGAGGAGGAGGAGGGGAGGAAGGAGGATGAGGAGGAGGAGAACGAGGACGAGAAGGAGGAATATGGGCTCGGGAGGGGCGACGGGGGGAGGGAGGGGCGCACCTCTCCCCCGGTGTTTCCCCCAGCTCCCTCGGCCCCCTCCTCTTCCCGCCCCTCCTTCCGCCTGCCCCTCCTCCCGCCCGCCCGCCCGCTCGTCCTCTTCCCCCCTCCCTCCTCCCGCCCGCTCGCACCTCCCCTCCTCTCGCCCGCCCGCCCGCCTTCCCCTCAGCCCCATCCTCTTCCCGCCGCTCCTCCCGCCCGCCCGCGCGTCCTCCCCCCCTCCTCCCG